ATGAAAGATACTGGTAGCTATTATACTATTGTGATAGAAGATGTAACCATTGGAAAAATAGTAGCAAGTGCAACATTAGTTATAGAGCAAAAATTCATTCATAATTGTGCACTGGTATGTTTTTCTTTTTTAAAGATTTTTTTATTTTTCATAAAATAAATTTTATACAATAAAAATAAAAAATTTGTTACAGAGAGGACGTTTAGAAGATGTGGTAGTAAATAATAAATACCGTGGTAAACATTTAGGAAAACTGGTAGTTAAAATCATACTGCAGTTATCAAATTATTTACAATGTTATAAATTATCATTGGATTGTAAAGATCATCTTATACCATTCTATGAAAGTTTGGGTTTTAAACGTGAGCCTAATAATGCTAATTATCTGAATATGAGATTTTCTATTGAAAACACTGCAAAAATATTGCATTTATGACAATAAAAAAAAAAAGAGTATTTAAAACTTCTCATAAAAAAAAATTGTAAGTTATATCTTAAATGTACGTACATTTGCACATATGCACATTTTAGATTCAAACAGTGATTTTTATTATCTTGTTTCAAATAAAAAAAAAAAAAGGAAAGAAGAAGCAGACAATTATTTTCTTTTTAATTTTTTAATCAATAGATTATCTTAACATGAATTAATAAATTAAATGTAGGTTTAAAAAGTAATGATATGTGAGTATATTTTGTTGAATGTTATATAATATTTTGTATTTTATAAGAATATATAATAATGCAATAAACAATATTAGAAAAACAATTAAAAATCGATTTTTAACAAATCAACTAGATATTGATAAAAAAAATACTTATTTAGCATTCATCATATTTTAATTCTTTTTTTTTTATTAATTACATGAATGCAATTGTTAAATTATGTAATATTTAAATTAGAGTTTCTTAGCAGCAACATTGTTTCGTAATTTTATCGCCCTTTTTGCTTCCATTTGTTTTTGTCTTGCTAATTTTCCCTCTTCACGTTTTCTTCTGGCTTCTTTTAATTTAATACTAATTGTATTGGTATTTTCAATGTTTTCTTAGATTAAAAAAAATTAATTTAAAATTATTACAAAAATATTTTTATTTTAATTTGATAATTATAAAAAAATAAATACCTGTTTGTGTGTGTTCTAATGGTTGAAAATCTTCTAGAGGCTGAAATTCAGAATCCTCCCAGCCTATGTCAGAAGATTCATTTTTATCTTCAACATTCTGTGCTGCTTCTTCCTCCTAAAAATGATATTTAAGTTTTTCTCCAGTTTCATATTACAAATAATCATTTTATAAAAATTATATACTAATATGTATTTAAAATAATGTCCATATAAAATTTCAAATAATACAAACCGGTTTTTCTTCCAGACTAGTCCATTGATCATTCGGTTTAGGAGAATGAGAAGATGGAGAAATATTACTTGATCCATGTTCTAATACAGTAGAAGGTTGTTGTTCCATATCACCCCAATTATCAGCATCCCAATCCCAATCACAATCTGAATTTGTATTTGTAGCATTTTGTAAATCATGTTCATGATCATGATCCAATGATGTCATACTTGTAGCGCTGCTTGTTGTGGCAGTTGTACTAGCACTACTTTGTGAACTACTAGCTTGTTCTGTAATTTTATTATTTATTTTTATAAAAAATGCTTCATAGTGATAGAATAGAAAAAATATATATAAGTTAGATACCTAAAGAGGCAGGTTTGTTTAATAAAATTCTAGATGTATTATGAGCATTTGATGATTTAGGTGTATCTGATTGACTGCGATAAAATTTAGCAGTAACAGCTGTTACAGCCCAACCAGCCCATGTAGCAGCTGCATTACTAAGACTTGGTGTAGCTGTATTTACATCTGCCTCTGAAAATATTGTATGTTATATATTTATATCAATTATTTCAATTGTTCTTTTATAGATAAACTTTTTGAATTGTTTTAATACCCATAGATTCACGTAATCCAGGATCTTCTGATACTCTTTCAAGCTTGGATAAAAATCCACGGATAGTTCGAAATGCATTATCTCTAACTCCTTTATCTACATCTGTAGTAAGTGGACATAGTGCTGGTAAAATACGGTTTGCAACTTCTTGTAATAAAAAATATTGTTGTGTAGCAGCTAATGCTAAAATACTTGCTGCTCTAGCTGGTGGAAATGGATCTCGTGTACCTCGAATAAATGCTCCAATTAATACCTACAATAATGTTTTTTATTATTATATATCATTTTATAAATCTTATATTTGAATTAAAATTACTTTTTGTCTAATCTGAGGATGAAGGTGCTGAGCAATTTTTCCTAAACAAACTGTAGTATTAGTACGTATGCCGCCATGTTCATCTTTTGATTGAAGTTTTGCAAAATACCTCAATGTTTCCACATTAAGATTATTATAATCTAATTTTGGTGCTAAATGTACAACAGACTTTATTGTTTGTTCTCTAATTGCAGCATTTGTATCTAAAAAACCTTTGGCTACCTATTAATGTAAAAAATATTTTGAGCTTTTTGTATTTTTGTATAATAAAAGAAATTAATATTTGTAATTAATTACCTGCGGAAAGATGGCTTCATTAACTGTTGCTGGTTGTAAATGATCGACAAATCGATCTAACTGTTGTAATAATCGTAATCTAGTTGCTCTATCATTTGAAGTAAATAATTTTACAACACATGGTACAACTCTTCGTTGATATTCAGCATCAGGCAATTGGCAACCGAGTTGTAATAAAGGAGGTAATACTGCACTTCCAGCATCACCAAATTCAAAAGCAGCCAATAATTGTGGTAAAATTTTATATCTACCAACGCCATCTGGAAATGATTCTAATTGACCAGCAAGTTGTGAGAAAAATCGACCTTTTTCTCCTCTTTCTTTCATTTGAATTTCTTCTAAGAATAAAAGTGCATCTACAAGTTCATTTTTAAAAAATCCTCCATTACTACGACAACGTGCTATCACATCAGCAGGATTTGGTCTTCCTTCTGCATTGTTACTAGTCAATTCTCGATATATCACTTGTAATTGTTTTGGAATCTAGATAAAAAACAGAAAGATATGATATTTCAATTTAAAAATAAATATACATCTTATAAAAATAAAAAACATACTTTATCAATAACTTTAAGTTGCAAATTTGAATTTAGTGGACCATTATATGTCTCCCAGATTAGGCATCCAAGTCCCCACATGTCAACTGAGCTGTTTTTTTATTTATTCATCAATTTCATAGCGTAAACAATAAACCTAAATGTTTACATATAGAAAAGCTAGTATTGTAGTGTAACTTTAAAAATAAGATAATTATTTTCTATTATTTACCAAATAAGAAAATTACATTGTCAATGTTTTATACACTAAATGAGTAGTAGCTATGAACAAAAATGATTAAATTATTTTCTTACTAAAGTATTCTTATTAAAGTATAATTTTTTTATATTTCCAATAAGAATAATGTAAAATTAATAATAATATAATTATAGACACATGAAAATTTTTTATTCCTACTATAAATCTTTTTTACCATTTTGTAACTGGTTTTACATTTTCCTTAACATCAGGAGGATAATAAGCTTGAAATGTTGATGGTAATATATTATAAACAATATCTACTGCTGTCATATATTCAACTCCACCAAGTTTCCATTCCCCACTTTCTTCATTAACAAATACAGTCCATAAATTAACGTTATTATGACGTAAATTAGCATCATTATTTAAAAAATTTAATGCTCTCTATTAAAATATATATGCAATGATGTATCATAAAATAATATATTATTATATATAATTTTTATACATACGGTAATCTGGAATATTCCCCAAGAAAAATATAATTCCTTTTTAAATTCATCATCACTATCAGATTTTCTTGTCAGTCGACTATATAAAGATTCTACACGTTCAGTTGCTAAATAAATTACTTTATTAGTCTGTAATTATAAAAAATATTAGTATTCATATTATTGATACATTTTTTGTAATATTGTAAGACACCCATATCCGCAGTAAATTATATTATATAATTATAAAAATTAAATATTATGTAAATACACATTGATTGCATAATATAATTCATTTCATTTTATTATATACATTATATCATTATTATCAGATAGCATTCAGTATTATAGTTTTATCATTTTATTAATTTAATTAAATTATATTACTTAAATTATATGTTATTTGTTATTATCATAAATATATATAATATGTACATAATCTTCTCTATTTAATTCTATTATTTTCAGTTTCATCTGCTGAGAATCTTGAAATGTATTATCCTTGCAGATGAGGGAGTCTTACTATACATCATTACTATACCTCAAAACTGTCCAAATATGCAAGTATGCTTGGATGTCTAAGTGTCTTTAATCTTTTTACTGCTGATCGAGCTATATTTAAAAGATGTTCATTACCACTTTTGCATTCAAACACAAATACTGAAACATCTTCACCTCCTGCAGATCCCTATAAAAAGATTTTTCAGGTAATAAAAATAAAACTTTTAAACAGAGAATAAAATTTGGATCAATACCTAAAAATAGAAAATATTTTTTAAGATTTTACAGCGCCAGGTTATGATACCTTTTTTTTAGCTCTATGTAACGTCCAGATGCTTCTATCGTCTAAACCAGAAATAGGTTCACCGATTTCATATGAAAAATCTTTGGCGGGATCTCTTGAAAAGAAAGACCACATATTTAAGATTTAACTATTTTATCTTCGTATAAATTAATTCATTCCTTGATTCAAAACCATATCATAGCACTGACAGCTACGCATCAATATATCTTCAACCGCGCTGCTACTTCGCGACGATTACGTATTTAATATTGAACTTACATTACTCAAGTAATCAGTGTGAGATTTAAGTACACAAATGCATTGATTAAACTTTTTACTATATTTAAAAAAATTATTTTTGTCAGATTATTCGAAAACTTTTTGTGTCAAATATTCGTTATTACGTTAATGTCTATCACTAAGTATGAACGAAGTTGGTCCGTCTTTGGTGACGACTTATACTTTTAAAAATGGCAAAGAATACATCGTAAAAATTAAAGTTACTACTTTTAAGGGATGTCAGCGTAACTTGGAGCTTACTATTAGCGACAAATATACTGCTGAGAATTGGCGGTCTTTCTACGATGCTGCATGTTTGTCTTCTATTTTTTCATCTTTAATAATTAACGCATTATTTTAAGGTTATTCTAAGAATTTCTAAATTCTGTTTGTATGCTAGAACTTTTATCTCGTATAAATATCATTTGCTTTTTATAATTAATTATACATTTCTTATTTTTAAGATATTGAAAATTTGACGCACAAAACAGGAAATTATAAGCATTTTGATGTATTTGTAGCTATGCTGCAATCTGGATTGTTAAAAGTAAAATTTGAATTTAAATTTTTTAATCAAATAAAATCAAAAGAATTTAATTACAGACAAGCGAATCTATTACTTTGGATCTTCTTACATTTGAAGACTTAGAACTATTACGCGCACGCAAATTTGAACGTAGTTCATGTTCAAATTTAGGTAATACATCAAATAATCGTCGATATCTTATATTAACATACACAGTAGAATTTGATAGGTAAGTGTATTTTAAAAAATCCTTAAATTTTTTTAAAATAAATCAAATATTTGCCAATTTTATTAAGAATCCATTATCCATTACCTCTGGAATATTGTGGTTTACCCAATCCAATAATATTACAAGCCACCATTAGAAAACTACAAATTGAACTTGAAAGATTACAATCTACAGGAATAAATAGAGATCTCCAAAAACGCATTGAACAACTTACAATTGCAAATCAAAAACTTGTACAAGAAAATCTTAAACTTACAAATGGAGGTAAAAATAAATATTTTTACATTTTATAGATTAATTTTTTAAGTATATTTTATTATTCAGGAAGAAGTTTAAAACATTTACTAGCATCAATTAAATCATTAGAAAAAAACATTATTAAAGAACGTGCATCTTTCTGTATGCAAATTCAAAAACTTAAAACTGAAAATACAGCTTTGTTATTGAAAGTACAACAACTTAGTACATCTGCTAATAAAAAATCTGAAGATGGTTGTTCAGGATTAAAACGCCGTAATCGTACATCTTCTACACTTAGAAGTAGAAGTCGATCGTCTTCAATCTCAAGTCGTAATAAAACAACTTCTAGTTTATCATCAGGTGTATATTAAAATTAAAATCTTATTACTAATATTAGAATTTTATTTGTATATTTTCTTTATTATTTATTTTTCTTAAAATGATTATATACATATATCTTAATAATAATAGGTAGTTCATTAGATTCAATTAAAATTCAACGATCTCCTTGTCGAAATGTGAAAATACATAATAAAACAAAAAATTCAAGTTAGTATTAAAATATATAATTAAATATATTACATTATGTTTAATATATATATATTATAATAGATATCAAAATATATATTTTTTATTATAGAAGTCGAGTTTGAAAATTTGGAAGCAAGAATTCATACATTACAGAAAATGTTGAAAGAAGGAATAAACCTAAATTATTAAATAAATTTTTTATGAATAATTAGTGAATGTATATACACAGATATATTTCTTTTTTTACCATTATTATTAACATATTTTTCATATAACATATAATACAATTTAATTAAATATAAATAGACATAGTGTTTTACTATCTAAAATAGTATGATTTAAAAATCTTTTATAAAAGTAAAATATTTCTTTTCCTATTGTTTTTGAAAATTATTAATGAAAAAATTAAAATATAAAACTACAGTATAAGTATAAATACAAAATATTAAATATTTTGAATAATAATGTACAAAATATTAATGTACAAAGTGTTATATATGATTTTAATTCTACATAAATTCATGTACATATTGTGGAAAGTATTTTTTATATACACTATGAGATTATAAAGATGTATTTGTTCTTTTTGGTATCATTAATATTATAAGTACATTATCAAAATCATTAATAAAATTTAAAATAAAATTTCAGTTAACTGAGATTGTCTGTTTTTACATTATTTTCATAATATAATATAGCACGTTCAATTATTGATGATTTTTTATTGTTTGGATTTATATTTGTATTTTGATTTCTATCAACATTAAATTGTTGCATTTCTTTATTTGATTCTTTTGTTCTTGATTTTATAATCAATTCATATTTTGTATGTTTTGCTAATTGTTTAATTACTTCTTGCAAATATTCTATTTCACTTTCTTGTTGAGATGTAATTTGATTTAAATTTTTAATATCATTTGTAAATGTTTGTATTTGTTGAAGACGTGCTTCTTCTTTTTTTGATTCTTTTGTTACTTGACGATTATATTCTAATATTAAACAAGCACCAGCAACACTAAAAATAATAACCTCACCCATTAAATTGGCTCCTAATTCAATAGCCATAGTTTCATTCAACTTTGCAACTTTTGTTGGTTTACCAAGATTCATTAAATACATTTTTGCTTTTACTTCTGCCCAATGATAAACTGGAATTAAATTATAAAAATATGAAATATGTAAATATATGTGCATGATAAGTGTCCATATAATTATATTAATAATGACAGTAATGATTATATTACAATTAAATTTTTTTTAACTCAAACTTTAAATATTTTAATTCAATACTCACATTGAGCAGGTGGTATGATAAAATATGTCCTAAATACAGGATGATTTTTAGCTTGATTAACAAGGAACTTTGCTAAAGGTTTACTAATTTGTTTAACAAATAAGACTCCCAATTTGAGAGCTGGAAAAACACCCACTACCATTTTTTTTATTTATATAATTAGAATTAGATAATCACACGTTGTATTTAATTAAAACCTAAAAATTATATATATAAATAAATGTTAAAAAAAAACTTAAAATGTATTAATATATATATATATATATATATGACTTTCAAATAAATATATTTATTATTAATATTATATATTATATACATATTGAAATATTATATAAAATGTAATAACAAAACAATGTCACAATAAAATTTGATGAATTTCGCATTGTATTCACGATCATTACCTCACCTCTGAAATTATTTCAGAGTATACAAGACAGCCATAGTGATATGATATGATATGTTATTTGATATGCATGTGTGAGTCACATTTTTATATTATTTATAAATTAAAAAGATTGATAAATATATTTCTAATTTTATGAATAATTTATAAATATTTATATTAATAATATATTATATTATATTATTTTTTGTATCTGGAGATATATATATATATATATATATGTATATATGTTATGTGTATATATATATATATATATATATATCTTTTCTGTTAAAATCGATTGTATAATAATTTTTTTGTTAAATTAACATAATTAAAAAAATATTTTTGATTATTTAAATATATATAATTATATTTTAGTAATTATATATATGTTCTAAATAATTAATTTATTAAAATTATTAATAGCTAATGCATAATTTCCAAAATTTCAAATTTTAATCTGTAAAATTTGTTCGAATATGAATGAAAATTTCACAATAAATTTAAAAAATACGTTATATAATATTTTTCATAATACAATGAGTATAATAAAATTAATATTAAGTAATATATTTAAATATAATATAGTTAAAATATTAATTTTATAGGTTAAATGTTTACTCAAAAAAGTGCGTATTTAAAAAATTTGTATTATATTATTATTGAAATTCCAAAAATTGACTAAAAAAAAAATGTATAATAAAAAGTTTAATATAATAAACAACAATTATTTATTTATAATATGGGGTTTGACAATGCATTTGATATTTTTGTGGGGTGTACTCGATGTTAATTTTCATTCTCCCATTATTCAAGAATTACCAAATGTATCAATTTTAAAAAATGCACCAGCAAAAAGATTAGTTTTATTTATAGCAGATGGTTTAAGATTTAGAACATTCATTGAAGCACCACCAAAATTTCTGAAGTAAGTATTAATTTATTTTTTATATAAAAATTTATTTTAGTTAATTAAATTTATTTTAATTAAAAATTTTAGTATATTTAAATTAAAATATGTAATAACAATATATAAATAATATTTTTTTTATAAAAAATGTATAAATAAAATTTTGATTTAGACATGTGATGACAAATAAAGGTGTTTGGGGTATATCTCATACACGAGTACCAACAGAATCTAGACCAGGTATTGTTGCAATTTGTGCAGGATTATATGAAGATCCCAGTGCTATATTTAAAGGATGGAAAGAAAATCCTGTTGATTTTGATTCTATTTTTAATCAAAGCTATCTTTCATGGGCATGGGGTAGTCCTGACATTATACCTATATTTACAAAAGGTATCATAAATATATATAAATAGAAATAAAATTTTATATAAAATAAATTTACTTATTATATTAAAAAAAAGTATAAAAGAAAGTAATATTCCTAACAATAGGTATAAAAGGAAATATATATGGTGATAGTTATCCCTCTGAATGGCAAAATTTTGATATTATACATGGTAAAATTTGGCGTTTAGACTCCTGGGTATTTGATAAATATATTGAATGGTTAAGAGAAGATGCTCACAAAATTAAAAATGCTGAACGTATTATTTTGTTTCTTCATCTTCTTGGTTGTGATACTACAGGACATGCAGTAAAACCTTATTCAAAGTACTGAAAATAAGCTATTTTATAGTTTTAATAACATGAATGATATATTTAATAAAATTGTAATTTCATTAGCTCTAAATTATATTTGAATGTAGAGAATATATTGCTAATATGAATTATGTTGATCGGAAAATAAAGGAAATAGTACAATTAACAGAAAATTTTTTTGGAGATAATAGTACTGCATATATTTTTACATCTGATCATGGAATGACTGATTGGGGATCACATGGAAGTGGTTCTGCAGATGAAACAGAGACACCATTAATTGTTTGGGGTGCAGGAATTAATACATTTAATTTTCGTCAAAATGTAGAACAAATTGATATTACACCTTTAATTTCTACTTTAATTGGTGCTCCGATTCCAATTAACAATGAAGTATGTATGTGTAAGAATAACATCAATTTTATTATATTTTATTTTTTTAAATATTTACAAGAATATAATAAATAATTTTCCAGGGTGTATTACCTTGGCAATATTTAAATGTTACTGATCTTAAATACATAAATTATGCACTGCTAAATAATTTGAAACAGTTAACATACCAAGTAAAAGCAAATCATAAAATGAATTGTGAAGATAATGAACATGCAGATTGGAGAGAAGTAGAATTAGATAATAAAATTGTTACTTTAGATAAAGATCTTGAAACAGCAGATTTAAATGAAAGACTAAAGGAAATTATTAACTCAATTAAGCTAGCTAAAAAGTCTTTATTATATTTTCGACAATATCAAAGAACACGATTTTTATTATATTTATCTATAATGTGGCTAGGATGGATAATATCATTATTTTTTAAAATAACTGGAGTTAATCGACCTGTTATACATTCATTTATTTTATTAATCACAAATATTGTATTTTTAATTTTAATAATTACAATATTTATTATGTACAAAGGTATGTTATATATAACATATAATTTAATTGCTTATAAAAAAAAAATTATTAGTTTTTATTTTAAGTAAAATATTTTCAGATTGTAATAATTGGAGATTATTCTATTATACATTTTTAGCTATAGTTTCTCTCTGGTTAGTTATTCGAAATGCAATCACATATACAATAAAATTAAAAATTTGTAATAATAAATATTATTGGACATTAATTGCAGAAATAATTTTTTTATTGATAATAATGTTCATTGGCTTAACATATAGGTCTGTTCTTAGTATAGGAATGTTATGCATTATTTTAAGTCAAAAGATAATATTAAAAAATACTCAAAATTTATTTTTCTGGACAGCTTTATCTTTAGCTGTTTTCCCATTGCTACCTGTCGTAGAACCATATCCTCGGATTTATATCGTGTAAGTTTAAAATTGTAATATTAAATCAAATTTTTTTTTAATTAAATGTAATTAAAATATATTTTTTTTTCAGAATTCTTAGTATGTGTATCGTAACCATAATAATTATATTAAAGATACAGTCGAAATATAGAAAAGTAATCGAAATTTTTCGATTAACAATTACAGGATTAATATATTTGGAATTTATAGATGGTCGAAATTGGATATCATGGACAATTTTATTAACAACACCATTATATATTTGCATTTATCCTATGCAATCAAAAGAAAGAATGCAAGGAATTATGTTGGGATTTTTTTGTCCATTTGTTTTATTATCTGCATCTTATGAACCTTGTTTTTTTATAATTCTTGCATTACATTTATCTTGTTGGTTACAATCTAATTCTTCTATTCAATATCATCAAAATACTAAAAATGCTTTGACAATGGAAGAATTGCTTAAAGCAGCAATCTTTGTATCCTATATTAATATGATATTCAAATTCAAATTGAACTCTTAAATCAATAATATCCTGAACAATTTATCATAGATGTTATACACATTGCTATGTTTCTTTGGAACTGGAAATATGGCAAGTATCAGTTCATTTAATCCTTCTTGGACTCGTCATTTTGTGACAATTTTTTCTCCATTTACAATGTTTTTATTAATACTTTTAAAAATATGCATACCTTTAATTCTAATTGGATGTATAAGTCATATATTTGGAGAATCTTCAAGCATCTTTTTTGGAGTACTTTTACTGGGAGATTGTTTATCATTACCACTTATGTTTTATGTTACTCCTCAAGGAAGTTGGCTAGATATTGGTAGTGCTATAAGTAGATTTACAATTGCGATTTCCCTTCCATGTCTTATATTATTATTACATTATCTTTCATATCCTTTAGTAATGCTTTCTCCAAATAAATTTAAATTTTATATTAATTTAAAAAAAAAACATATTGTATAAAAAATATAAACTATGTAAATAAAATCCATGATTTATTTATAATAAAGTGATCAAGTAAATATAGTTGTTTATTTGATTTAATAAAAAAGTGTTACATTCTTGTTTACTTTTCAGAAAAAAACTAACGTATTTCTATATTTTATTTAAGAATTTGAATCTATAATTATTTTTTCTAAAAAATAAAATATAAAATTTGATACTTTACTAATACTAATATCAAATCTTATAATGTTTTAATAACAATAATCTAATATTTAAGAATTTCTGGATGAGATATATAATATTAATATCATAATATAATTTATATATTCTTTAAATAATTTGTTTTTTATTTAATTAAATCTAGAATTTAAATTCTTTGTATTTCTTAGAGGCTTTTGAATCTTGACTTTGTTGTCGTTTGCGTTTACTCTGTAAAAATAATCAAAATAAATTTAATACATATTTATTAATTAGTTTTTAAATAAATATTCAAAAATATGCTTACTTTTTGTCGTTGCACATGATCCTGAAGCATATCTGATAGATCTTCTCTTCTTAAGTGAGCTTGTCGCGATCTCATTGTTTCTTCATATCGTGATGCCATTGCTTCTGAATCTAAATCTAATTCACTTGGATCTAATGCTAATTCAACAGCTCCATCTTTTTCTGTTCTTCCATCTGATGTTGTTCCACTTACTCCACGTCGTGCAGCAATTACAGATGGTGGTGCTTGACCACCTGCTGCACCAGTCATATCATAAACATGTGTACTACCCATCATGCTTGCTCCAAGACCTTCTGTTCTTCTTTCTTGCAAAACTGTATATAAAGCAGGAGTATCACCTCCTTCCATTTCACTTTCAATTTTCTTTTTTCTTAATTCTATTGTTTCTGGAGTTTCTAATCCTGCAGGAATTGATGTTATACCACTAGGTGTTATTAAACCTTCTGCACCAGGTGTAACCAAACCACTTGCATCTCCATCTCCATCCTTTCCTTCTCCTTCACCTTCTCCACCTTCTTCTGCATCTTCATCTTCATCTTCATCTCCAGAAGATTCTGATTCAGGTTCACCCCACATACCTCTATCAATTTCTTCATCCATATTATCTCCTCCTGGAGTACGTGATATACCAAATACATCTCCATACAAAGGTCTTCCTGTTTCATCTACAGGAGGTTTTCCCCAACCACCAGCATGATAGCCAAATGCACATCCTTCTGGAATTGGTGCATTTAAACCAGGTATTTTTAAATTGGGATAACTTGGTGGTGGACCATATCGTTGCATAGCAATTAACCACGGAGGAGGTACCTTATGACAATTAGGTCCTACTGGCATACCAAGAGCAGTACGTAGTTCATCAGATAATTCTCCAGGTTTCTTCTCTTTTAACCGCGTTTCGAATTCTTTACCCTCATAGTATAAATCACCGTGAATAGTCATACGAGGTTTTGTTTGCCATTTGAAGAATGCATCATGTAACTTTTGATAGTCAATATCTATTTTGCCAAGCTTAGGCCTTGCTCTTTCTCGCATTTTAGCTTTCAATGTGCGTGTATCATCTCGTTCTTGAAGACTTGCTCTCATTTCTGTAATACCAGTTCGTTTTATGAAATCTGGTAAATCAAAAGGAGGCTTCTCTATACCTCGTTTTCCTTGTAAATATTTTCTTTTGAAACACCAGTGTCTTGGTACAGGTACTGTATTACGGTGAGCTTTTAATTGTACAAGAAGTTTTGGATCTCTAGCAGTAACATCATGCATTTCTACAACATCTGGACGCCCAACAAGTTGTTTTAATTCTGCAACACTTAAGCGCGTTAATCTTTTTAGTTTTCTTTTAGAAAGACGTGGAGCGCCATTTTCTCCATTTCCTTGCTGTTGTTGTTGCTGATTTGCCTCATCATCAAAATCATCTAATGGTGGTACTTTACTAGGTACAGTTCCTGTTGCTTGTAATGTTGTCACAGGTGGATATTGTCCTATTGGTTCTCCTTTTTCTGTTTCTGCAGATTTTGGCTCAGGTTCAGTTAATTTAAATGCTTCAAATATTCTAGCAAATTGACGATACATTGGTTCCAAGTCATTAACACTTGGAATTTCTTGAACATATTCAATCTCTGGTAAATCTTCTTTTGGTTTGGCATTTTCCACATTGTCTTTTTTATTCTCTATTTCTTTTCCTACATTATGTTTCTTTCTCTTTTTCTTTTTTTTCTTTTTAGTCTTAGTTGTTTTCACATCAATTTTTTCTGTTGTTGTTTCAGGTTCAAGTATAACATCATCTAAATGAGATATATCTTCTCCTAGAGTTTCATGATTAGGTGATTTTCCTAAAGAAACTATGTCATTTGGATCTCCTCCTACTTCTTTAGCTCTTTCTGTTTTAAAAGCTAGAGCTTGTTCTAAAGCTGCTGGTAATTTCACAGAATCGCTGTCTGTATCTCTTCCAGCATCATCTGATGAAGTTTGACTTTGTAATTCACTTGGAGGACTTACTTTTAAACTTAATAAACTTGGTAATGCTTTTGGAGGATCCATTCCTGGTACTCCATGATTCATTAAAGATGGTATTTGATGTGTCATTTGTTGAGTCTATTTTAAAAATTTATAAATGAAAATTAATAAGAAAAATACATATGCACAATTAATTTTATAATTTATATATATATACTAGTCATTATGTAATTAAATATAATAAAATATTATATAAAATTTTAATATACATATATATTAGTTAATATATAAATAACATCTTTTTTCTTGTAATGAAAACAAAACTAACCTCATTTCCTACTATATTCTCCATATTAGTGTTTCGTTCTGTTCATATGTGATATGTAAGAATATTTACCATGTTAAAGTTATTTACAGCCTAAAATCAATTCTTTAATAAAGAAAAATTAATCTACTCCTATTAATATTATATTGTATAACAAAATACACAGAATAATAAAGATAATACCTTACCATAAGTATTGAAAAAAAAACATAGAATAAATAAAGACTAGAGAACGCTTCCTACTGTTGAAAACAATGCTATTATTTTATTGGTTAATTCAATAATACTAATTAAATAAGAAATTTCATTTTTTTATTTAAAAATTTATTATATATATTAAAAAATATATATCATAAGTAAAAATCGTAATTATAAATAAATAAAAATATAAAAAACAAAATAAATAATGTGATTTTTTTTACTAATTATCATTATTCAAATTATTACATATTTTTGTATCTAAAAAATTAAAAAAATGAGATAAAATATTTTTTATCAATTAATTCTTAAAAGAATATATTTCATATATTTTATTTAAATTTAAAAATAGACCTTCAATATTATATTTAAGAAAAAAATTATAAAAATAAAGTACATATATTTATCTGGCAAATATTAGAATTTAATTATAAAAATTATTTTATTGAAATAACAAACATTTCAAAATACGTTATGAAAGGAAATTGGATAAAACGGAAAAAGGACTAATATATTTTTCCATTTATGCTTATGTTTATTTATTAATTGTTGCGACGGAAGTCATCAAACTTGAAAATTTAATAAAAATATTCACAATGAGCACATTCTTTCTTTCTCACGTACATTTTTATATTTTCTCTCTCTCTCGCTTTCTCTCTCTCTCTCTCTCTCTCTCCCTTTCTCTCATACTTGTCTCTGTTACGCGCATGACCGTAACATTCATCGTGAGCTAATGCGCGTATGGGCCAATTTAACCAATGTAGAACTTATGTCCACCATTCGTTGGACACTTGTGTTTTCTGGTTATGTATGCATGAATGTGGTATGATGTATATGTACATTCAATTATTAATAATTATTATTAATAACAACAATAACTAATTAATACGAATAGAAAATCATGTTTCATGGTGAATGACTCGATTTCTTATTTTCATTTTTTCTTTTAAGATTTGATGAATGTCTCTTCCAGAGTTGTTGCATTTTATCCATATATGTGAAGTACATATCAGCAATGTCAGTGCAACATGCAAATTCGGCAAAACGAGGCCTTCAATTTTGGCGAATTGCTGTTTCGAAAATTATTTAAAAAATTCCAAACAGCGATTAGTTCTTGTTCATCAGAGCTGCCAATGACAATATATAAAGCTGGGATATCTTCACTGTGCTGATTCTGGCATTAAAATTACAATAACAGCATAATTCCTTTTTCAGTGGCAAACTGATTATTCTACCAGTTCACCTGATTGTATTATTGATTCAGTCTAAGATGACAACCATGTCATCACCACGTACTGCTCTCTGTGGATGAGGAGGATGTAATGGAGTTGGTAATCTACGCCATGGCTTACGAGCTGCTCTTCGAAGTTCAACTGATGAAAGAGTTCTTCTAAGTCTTCTGCAAATTGATAATAATATTATTTTAATATATTATATAATGTATTTTTCTGTCTATTATTTTGTTTCTTTATTCTTAATTTTTATCTTTATTAATAAACATGTCAAAGTATTATATTGATATTAATATTATAGAACATATAATAATGCTAACTTAGTTTGATCAGAAGCACGAAAATAAACGTCATCAGGTGCATCCATCCATGAAATTACTTGTTTACGTGCATTACTTCTAGATAATGGTGGACCATGAGGTAAAGAATGAGGATGAGCAGCTCTTCCATTCAAAGGCGGTGCTAGAGGAAGAACTGCAGGCGTAGCATGCTCCAAAGTATGTTTTGGATGAAGTTGCTGAGAATGATGAGCCCTTTTGGCAGGTGGTCCACCAGGGAGCCCTGCACTTAGGGCAATACCTATTAAAAGTATTAAATTTATATAATATTCAAACACGAAATTTTAAAATAATATAAAACTATTAAACCGATGATGTGTATTCCTTTGGAAAAAATGTTAAACTGCTTAATTTAACAATTTTGATTATTTGTCTCATTTATTGATTAATTTAAACTTTTAAACACTTAATTATTTTACCTTCATCCCAATCCACATCAGAGTAGAAGCCAGTAAACAAAAACCATATTCAATACTAAGGAACTAAATTTCATAATATACATGAATAAATTTCTAAAATTTTAAAATTTACCATCTGATCCGTTGATTTCATCAAATGGAGGTCTTGTGCGTTTCAATATCGTTTGTTGACTCTGCATACTAGGTTGTGGCTGAGGTGGAGTTATCGTCAGTCTATCTACTTCAGATTTATTTGGTACTCTTTCATACAGAAGACTTCCATCTATAATATAATAAGTAAAATCAAAATATTAAATATATATATATTAATAAAAATAATATTTTTATTAAATAATTTATTTACCTGGTGCTTTTGGTGGTCTTGGGAAAGAAACTCGATCTGGTTGTTTTCGTTGTGCCGGCGCTGTAAGAGCTAACCAATCCCAATCTCCAGGTTGTCGTGGTGCAGGATGATCACCTAAACGTGTTGCTATATCAGTTACTCGAGGACGAGGTCGAGGTCGTACAGCACGAGCCAAAATACGTAATTCCGCAGGACTTTTTGATGTTAATTGAGGAGAAGCACAGAGATGTCGTAATGGTGCTGCATTTACAGGCTGATGAGGTGCTCGAGCTGCATGACGTGTACGTAATTGTGCTGCACATAATCGTCGTGCAGCTCGCGCCAATGCTGAAGTACGTAAATAAAATGCTGATCGAGTTTTCATCACAGGTCTTGGTGATCCACTTCCGCCACCTCCACTTGCTCCACTTCCACGTAGATCAACGCCATGAGCACTTGCGTAATGACGACTTAAATGTGCTTTGAGCTTGAATTCTTTACCACAAGAAGGAATGCTACAACGATGAGGTCTATGAGCACCACCAATTCCTTTGCTTTCTTCATCGGAACCAGTGCCACCTCTCTTTCTTTCTAAATCAACATCATCCATACGTGATGGAACCTAAGTAAACAATTTTTAATATATAAAAATAAATCTTCATTATTTAGATATTTATATTTAATGAAATGTACCTTTAGACCACCATACTTCTTCCAATATGTCCAGCAAGATTGACAAAGACGACACTGCATATGTGAAGGGCCCCAAGCATACCACTGTGGACTTTGCATTACTTGACAACTTTCACATGGTTTTCCACTAACTCCAACCATTAATATTCCGCTATTATCAGTTGTCATATTACCATTGCTATTACCATTGAGAACATTAGTTGGTTTGCCATTACTGTTACTATTATTATTACCAAGAGGTACAATTGTTGCTGCAGAAGGAGCAGTTGTAGGTGGAGTTGTTTTATTATAATTAGGTATATAAACCTGTTTCAATTTACTCTCAGCTTCTACAGCTTTTACCCTTTTTTGTTGTACGTATCTATCGGTTGTCTTCCACATATAATAATATTCAATAACATTTTTTAATGTTTTCCATGGTAACTGAAATATACATATACATATACATATACATATACATATATATATATATATATATATATATATATATATATAAAGTAATAAAAAATCCAAAACTAATCTTTAATAATTTTGCTACTTACAAAATCTTGACGTATATCGGAAAAATCTTTTCCATATTTATCAAGAGCTTCTTCAAAAAGATTTGCTTCAGATGCACTCCATTCTTCCATTTCGTCTCTGCATAATACTGGACCAGTACTAGGTACTAAAGATGACATAGCTTTTGCGACGTCATAATTATGTCGGTGTAATGTATCCATTGCGTGGAACTTTAAATATAAAATAGCATAAAAAAAATTCTTTTTAAAAAAAATATAACTTACATAATTACACATAATAATAATGAAAATGATATTTACAAGAGTAATATCTCTAGATGCAGCTGCGGCAGACATATGTAAAGATGGTTGTTTAACTGAAGACGAACAATCTAAAGCTCTTGCAAATGTGCCTACTGATCTACTAACAACAAGGAATTGATCAATTTGACGATCTGTGAGTGAATGTCGTGGTGTCCAGACCAATGTTTCTAAATCTTGCAACCTACGAGGATCTGATTCTCTTTCAGCAGATGTCAGTGGAACTGATGCTATTCCATCAGCTTGATATCTACTACCTACTCTAATTTCACCTGAAATTTTATTAAAAAAATTTTAAAAATTAAAATTTGAATATATAGAAAAAATTATAATTATTACTTATTATATATATATATATATATTTAAAAATTTTTTAAATTAATAAATTGATAAATACCTTTATCAGCAAGCAAAGTACGTTGAGCAGGATCAAATACCAAGCAATAAAAGAAAGAATCTTCTTTATTTAAATAGCTTAGTAAAGATTCCGTTTCATTTAATAAAGTTACACAGCATTTGCCTCTTATATGCGTTGCGGGCATTGTTTCCACCTGACGTGATAAAAACAGTTCTCTATGCTTCATTTGATGACGTTGCTTAGAACTTAATTCTGTAACTCCTCCAGCACCAACTACATTTTCTTCCATCCCTGTATGTAAAAAAAATTATAATTAAAATTATGTTTTATTATTTTAATTGTATAAATAAATATTTTAAATATAAGAAGCTAAAATAACAAAATATTTCATTAAGATAAAAAAAATAAGAAAGACTATAAAGATATAATATTAAAAAAACTTTATTCCCTTTTTATTTATATAATGCTAATAAAAACTTAATTTAAAATAAAATTGTGTATCTTCAATTTCAATATTAACATTAATTAAATAATATATTAAATTTCTTATCATGTTTGAAAGTATTTCTTAAATTTATTTAATTTTGGTTTTTCATTATTGTTATTATTTTTTCTTTTTTATAAATAAATGAAATGTAAATGAAACGCAGGAATGTGGCAGAATCAATCAAAACTTATAATAATAAACTAAAAATATTAGCAAGAGCGGGTAACAAAAAAATGAAAATTAAAGCAACATTAAGTGATACATTTATTATAATAGAAATGAAATTAATTTTCAAAGAAATATAAATTGTTTAAAGAAGCCTCAGATTACTAAAGAATTATCATTTTGTACGGCGGGATTTTCTTCTAAATATTTAGAAGAAGATTTATTTATTAGAATACTAATTATAAAAATTTTTTCAGAGAACAAATCTAGCATTTATTATATATTGAATTAAATTACTCATTACAATGATTTCTAAAAAAAAAAAAAAAAACGAAAATTATAGAAAATGATAAATAATTGAATAATTATAACTATATATTAGTATATAATGTATGGGTTTATTAAATTTTATATTTAATGATTAAACTTCTTCCTATATAACTTAAAGGAAGAGGTTATAATTAAACCCAATTTGTTATCTCTTTGGCCTTACAGTGAAATAGCTAAAACTTATAATATTCACCAAGATTACAAAGAATTTTATAAATCCCGCCGCTATATCATTAGCCTTATATCATCACTGGCTTCTATATGAGATTAACAAGACAACTAAAAGGTGCATATTATATAATACTTACCGATGAATTAATTAATATTTAATTTTTATTACTGTTTCAGAATTCACACATATTTGATGAAAATCATTTATTTGCTATTTTTTTTTAATTATAAATTCATTAAATTTTCAAATTAATATATTTTTTTATAATTTTACAGAAAAATAAACAATAATGAAAAAATAAAATGAAATTCATCTGTAAGGAGCACCTTTTAATTGACTGCTCACTCACCATGAGGCTCTTGGGCCTCTGACAGTGGGGCCTTCAGCCAGCCCCCCTTCCCGCCCCCTTTGTTCATCACTTTGGGCCCGATCCCATCTTTATTAGTCATTTCCTTAGTAGTATCTGGATTCTCGAGTTTCTGATTCTGCGTGTTTGCAGGAGATTCTGACCTTTGCTGCTCTGCACTTGCCACTGCAATTTGTATCACAGAACCCACTCTACTATTTCTCATTTCATATTCTTTCATTTATAAAATTTTAACATGCTTATAAAATTTGTAATCCTAAAAATCTCAAAAACTAAAGATATATAATTCTTTAATTTCATTACTCTTAGTTTTTATTTAATAGAATATCTGATTATTAAGTAATTAAACTTAATTGATTAATATATACATGATATATAAATGTATAACTTTGATTCTGTCAACCAATTCCAATCGCGTTTCTATTTACAATTATAACTGTATTTTTATAAATTATTATTAATTAAATAATTAATTTTTATAAAAAAATCTTTATTTAAAATTCCAGCATATAACTTATAATAGTATATATAAATATATAGTTAGACTTTAAGAATATTTCTCAAAAATAATATATACTATAATAATATTATATTATTACAATTATTACGAAAATCACATTTTGTGCAAGATTATATTGGAATAATAAAAATATCATGAAAAACGTCAAATCTAAATAACAAAAAATTTAATGAATATATTTATATTATTATAAATTTAAAATTTTATTTTCAAAGATTATTAAGAAAAATCTAACAAAAGAAGAAGGGATGAGGGAGAGGGGGAAGATGGGAGGGAGAAAGGAAGGGAGGAGAGAGAAAGAGAGAGAGAGAGAGAGAGAGAGAGAGAGAGAGAGAGAGAGAGAGAGAGAGAGAGAAATATATATATATATATATATAAATATTTAGAAATATATTATATTCTTGAATTATTTTCTATATGATTTTATATAGAAAAATATAGGTTTTAGGACATAATTTATATAATTTATAATATTTTTTTTTTTGAAAATTATAAAAAATCAAAAATGAAATAATAAAAGTAAAAAAAAAAAAAAGAAAGTAGAAAAAAAAGAGAGAAATGAAAATCTGATTCGGTGCAAATACCGGCAGACAGAGCTAGTAGGGAGGAAGAGAATACAGGAAAATATACATTCGTGTATACATACACAAATACGTTCATAGAAAAGAAGAGAAGGGGCGAAAAGAGAAGCGAGGGAGTAAATGCTTAAAACGAAGATGGCTAGTGGGACCCACCATTTTCGTCGGGATACATATACGTTTGCTTGCTAACGTGTGTGTTCCTGTTTCTCTCTCTGCCAGTTATTCGTACATGCTATGTGCCCGGTTATCGTATACGTTTATCAGTGTCTTATAAGTCTGTGTTGAGTACACGTAACACATACTCAACCAACCCCTGCGTCAGTCATTCATTTAGTTCAGGATGGCGGGAGGCAGAAGGATGGTATGAGAGACTCGGGTGAGAGGTAGAAAGAGGGAGAGGTGGGTTGGGAGGCGCACCACCCCCAACTCACCCCCAGCAGATCGATACAACCCCCATTTCACCTCTCTGCCACCCCCCAACTTTACTTATTATACATTCCCATCCCCAAATCCCCGCGTCTCATTATCTCTGCTATTGCAAAGGAAAAATCGAGAAAATTTTAGAGGCATTAATATATATATATATATATATATATAATGCATAAAATCAAATAATATTTTCTATTCATGAAATTATATTATTTTTTTTACGATAGAAAATATATATTAAAATATTCGAATTCACGAATTCACAAATTCTGAATATTGCAATATTAATGGCAATGATTGAATTCCTTGATTTTTAATGGAATATAATATAAAATAAAATTACTTTTTTAACATATTTTAACATGAATGAATACCAGAATCAAGCAATGCTTATGCTTTCATCTTAAATTAATTTTAAATTGAATAATGATTCGTATTTATGTAGAATATTTTTAAATATTATATAGTAAATATATTTAATGAATAGCATCAATGATTTCTCAAAATATTGATTATAAAATTATTAAGTAATAAAGAAAATTTATTTTTTAAAAAATAAGAATTTTTATAATTAATATGAAAATAAATTTTAATTTTTTTTAATTTCCGGATATTTATTAATTTATATAAAATATATAATATTATTCTTCTAATATTATTCTATTTTCAATATATTAAGTATATTAATATATAGTATAATAATATAATATAGTATAATATAATATAATATATTATTAAGTATTAGTATTTTATCATATTTATATTATATATTTTATCATATATCATATATTAAATTAGTATTTAATCATCTAAATATAAAAAAAAAGCACTAATTTTTATTAATTATTTATTTAAGAATAATATTAATTAAATAAAAAATATTAATATAATATGTTTATATTTGTATAACATAAAAGTTTTGAAAAAAATTTTTTATTCAAACGTTATGTAAGATCAGTATCTTAAAATGCAATACAATAAATATTTTAATAAATAATAATAAAATAAATTTTACTTACATTGATGTTTATCTGCAAGCATGATTAATGTAGATGGCAAATCCCTCCGCCTAAAGAAACACATGACTTTTGCTTCAACATTTCCACTTGCTGTCTAGAATAATAAAATAAATATATATTAAAATAAGAAAATGAATTAATAATAAATATTTTTGAATTTTTATTTATATTAATTTTAATAAAAAAGAATAATCAATTTTAATTCTTACCTTATTCAATTCTTCTATCCTTCTTATCTGGTAAGGAGATGTGGAAGATGTTTCAAAATATACATAATCTATAAATTAAACAAAAGATTTTAATATTAGATTATTAAGATTTAATTTTTTTTTCTTTTTTTTATGAAAAAATATTAAATAATAATAACAAACAAATGAATAAAATTAATTATACATATATTACAATATATTAATCATTTTAATTTATAAATATTTATAAATATATAAATAATATAATAATATAATATGTAATGTACATATTGAAAAACAATTATTATAAATAAAATTAAATATTATATATATATATATTCACAAAATATTTATGTACTATTTTATGAAATATAAATATTGATATTACTATTTGAGAACATATAAGTAGAGATATAAGAGTAAAAAATATGATAATTCTCTGCATATTGTGATTGTAAAAAAAAATTATATTTAATGTTAAAAATAAATACATAAAAAATAGATATAATAAAATATAAAAATTTTAAATTTATAATATTTAAATATATAGAGCGCTTTACACATACACCTAGATCTTGATATTCAATTTTTATGTATTATATATTGTATTACATATATATATATATATAATTAAAAAAAACAAAAAGATAATTTTATATAAATTATTTTAATTCTTTAGATCTTTGATATAAAAATATTCTAGTGGACATATTATGAAATAATTCGAATAGTAGAAAACAAAAGAAAAAACAAAAGAAATTTTCAAATATTGAATTTTAATCATCCGAATCATCATGCAAGAAATTAGTATGACCTGAACGAAGGGCGAGAGTGGGGAAAGAGGGAGCAGAAGGAAAGCAGCATACATACGGATACCAGAAAAGAGCGGGGAGAAAGAGATTAGACAGAAAATGAAAAGTTAAGAGGCTGTGCAGATAAAAAAAAATATATATGGAAAATTTTATCGTGATATTAATTGTAAATATAAATTTTTTGGGTTTATTAAAGATACATAGCTCAAAATTCGACGCGTGGCCTCATCAGCCGGCGAAATGTGTGTATGGTTATTTTACCTCCCACCCGGTACATATTGGCCGTCATGTTGCTGGCGTCCTGTGTGGCCCCGAGAGCGAAATTGGCGTTCTCGTGGTTACCGTGGTTCTCGTGGTATTCGGCCGGCATCGGCATGAAGGCTTTTCGTCCTCCAACTACGCGAATCTATTAGCCGACACTTCCCACTTGTCCACGGAGTTAACACTTCACGGTGTCACTCCATCGTGTTTGTTTGTCCCTAATCGTGGAAAGAATTTCGCGCTACCTTTTTTTATTTACATTGACTTGTTTTCCAATATTGATATAACACTATGATATTTATAAATGTGCACAAGATATGTAAAAATTTCACACTGAATTCGGTTCACGTGTTCGTTACCGTAACGAGCATCATCAGTGGCCGTTGCTCCGTTCATGCAGGAACACCGCCATTTTCATTTTACCAAGCGGGCTACATATACGAAAAGGCAATACTGCCTGCTCCCCACTACTAGAGTTGGATTCACTTGCTTTCTTTAAAACCGCGTGCATTCAAAAGTCCATTAAAATATATGATCACGATCTTTACACGTTATTCATTCGTTCCGCTTCATTATGAAATTCTATTTTTACGAATTTTTGATAGAAAACACGTAATCAGACCGATACAACCCGGTCAACGAATACCACAAAACAAGGCCACGAATCGGATACTACCAAGATCCGACGATTGCGCGGTCTCGAGAGCGTCTGTATTACTCAAGAGTGGGGATAGTTAGATGATAGAATGCCAATTTGTCGGCGCACTTTTCAATAACCGCGAAATTTAAATTCTTTTATGATATAAGGTATTTATTTAGAAAGGATTAATTATTTTTATTAAATAAATATAAACTTACTTTAGATTTATAAATATATTTACAATAAAAGATATTTTATAAAACCGAATAAACACAAAAACATATAACGTGACGATAAATGAAAAGCTTTCATATAGTATATGAAATATTTATATATTTACGAAATTAGTCTTTCTATACAATTGCTTACGCGCAGTCACATTTTTATCTATTTTAATAAAAAAATGTATGTAAATGAATTAAAATTACTCACTAGTTTGTAGAGCCTGTGTGAGCTTGCCTTTCACGTAAAACGTTTGGTAATGCATCTGACTAACAATAAATAATAACGAATAATCGATTTGAGGCGGATACGTAAGGCAAAATTATATTTATATGTACACAATAGTAATAGTAGTAATAATAATACATATTCATTATATGAATGTGTTTATAATTTAGTTTTTTGCAATTTAGGTAATCTTAAGGCACACCCCACGGTCTTTACCAAGCAATTTCATTTTTTGTTCATTAATATCGTATAAATAAATGTATACTGTTGCGGATTTCGTTAATCTAAATTTATTATCATATTACTATTTGTAGGAATATTTATACTAAATATAGAGAATAATCTGTTCTGTACATAATTCTATGTCTTTTTTATGATTTTTTTAAAATGGATAGTCATTGATTAATGATAATAATGACAGAAATATTAATAAGAATAACAAGATAATGCATAAATGAGATGTAAAATAAGAGCATGCTCTTTTTTCTCTTCATTTTAATATTTATATCATGAGTAGTAAAAATGATAAAAATGAAATTTTACATGTGAACACATTCATGGATTCCATATAGTGAGAAAATCATATTAAATTATTTTAGCAATAACTAATAAAAAAAATGAACATAATACATAAGACAAGATCAATTATAATTAAAATAATATAATACTACTCATGTATGTGATTTAATTTAAGATTAATATAAAATATCTATGCCAATTTCTATACTTTATGCATTTATATGTACAAGAATAGCATCCAGTTTTTGTCTTTCAAGATGCATATTTCTACTTACTATGATACTACTGTTTACGAATAAAAAAATACTAATATATCGCATTGTCGTTGCACGGGCAGTGTTTGCGCAGTTTTTATCCATTGATAAGGCACCAACTTTTAGGATCCTGAGATTCAACCCGCATGCTTCGACAGATTTAGAGGCATATCTAAATGAGATATAAATAAGATGAATTTTCTGATAAATTTAATAGATATTGAACGATATATCTTTAAACATTTACCTGAAGGAGGTGTAAGAGTCTGTTCCCTGTAATCTTTGTAGTGATGAACTGGAGGAGATGGTGGATGAGGTGGTGGTGGTGCATATAATGGCATAGGAGGTGGATAATGGACGGGTGATGGATAATGCATCCATAAAGGAGCTCTATATGGTCCAGGAGGTAACATCGGTACACCATAAAGTGGATGCTGAAGAGGTGTATTAGCCGTACCAATGTATGGATCCATTCGTACTCTTGGATATGAGTTACTTGATGAGTATTTCACAGTTTGCCTTTCATCTGGTTTTAATAAATTCCTCAAAAAACCTTGCTCATGACTTGGTTTATCTTCTCCCAAAATACTCGTTATACTATATGAAGATAATTGTTTTGATGACGGAGTAGGAGCTGTTGTACAAACTGGCTGTGGTGTTGCGCGTCTTTTCGATGCTTGATCTTCTAATGAGACTCTTTCTAATTCGCGCAAAATACGTTTACGAGGTGAAACGACATTAGGATCTAGAAGACGTGCCAATTTGTCAATAATTAGGTTCAAAACCTTTCCAGTTGATGTACCATTTGCTTTACGAATTGGTTTAGTATAATTTGTTACTGATTCTGGAATGAGTAACAAAGAAGTAGGATCTAATGGACGTCTACGCTTTCTTGCGATTAAGCGAGGATGCGCATACAGACGATTTTTTGGATTTCTATAATAATAAAAACTAAACTCTGTAGATATTCTACGTCTTGGATTTGCTTGCTTCCAACAATGATCTCTTTGCCAAGGACTTGATTGTACTGATGAATTATCATCAGAAACTGAAAAATATAAGTATAATAATAAATTTAATTAATTTTATTAAAAATATTATAAAAATTTAACTTACCACTAAGAGAAGTAGAACTCTCTTGTCTATTTGGAGTTGTACTAGCTGGTGGCCAAAAGGTTTTCTTTGGAACTGGAAACCATGTAGTTCTTTCCCCATCCCTACGATGGGATAATTCCAAAATAAACTTTCCGTCTTTAAAAAATTTTAATCGTCCACCAGGAGTTGGAAGTAAATTATTATCAATACGTGCTTCTGAATGATGTGTTGATTGGGGATTTGAATTTTTACCATTTGCCTTGGTAAGAGTTGAGTGTAATGTAGGAGGATCACGTGAGCACATTTCTGTTGTGCCCCTCACGTGACCTGCGTGAGCATGACATTCTGCTGACTTCTCACGCATGCTGATACTTTATCGATATCCATTTTTCTCCGCTTGACCTTTCATACTTTAGCCTCTTAATATCAAATTAATAAAAGAGACAGGACTTTAATTAAGTCCTTCTCTTAAAGCTATGATTAATAATTTTAAAGAAACTTGCTAATATATTTTTGTTTCACAGTTTAAGGAAAGCATTTTTTATAAGAACACTTAATGAAACTTATCAGATACAATAAAAAAAAATTCCTTATGCAAGAAAGAATTATTTAACAACAATGTTAATAATAGCAGAATATTTAAGTTTTTTTCAAAATTAACAAAGTTAATAATAACAAAGAGATAGATTCATATTGATTTTATATTTTTAAAACTGTCAAATTGACATTAGTCAAAAACTGACAGTAAGAGCAACGTTACTCTGAAATTTAACTGATATATTTTTTCTTATGCCCAAAAACATTTGTCTGGATAATGTGCCAATTAATATATATCGATAGAATAGAATATTATCGAATAAAAAAGCACTTTATCATTGATCCAAGAATAACATTTTGTGCAAAATTCCAAAAGGAATTTTCTATACATAAGTGGTAATCGCTAGACACCCACCCACCCACGCACTACCGCCTTCTATAATGAATTCTATTTCATTTCGAAAAAGCGGATCGTCACATTCATAAATTTATTCAAAAGCAAGCACGTTAATATTTCGCAAATTATTATAACCAGCGTACAAATTGGTTTTTCAAACGGAAGATTTTCACGGATCAAACACGGGACGGACACTCTATAGTAGAAAACACGGTTTGACCGACACATGTGTTTCACTTCACCCACGAATGGTTTACGTGTCTACGGCAATTGAGTTTATTCGTTCGATGACCCTTTAGAATATACATCTACCATCATTTTCCTCGTGATTTTCGATGTTCGGATGTAAAAAAAAAAAACAAGAATTTCTCGCCTTCGTGTATCCTTCTCGTCGACAACACTGTGGCGGTTCGCAGTCCGCGCGTTCCTCCGTTTCTTGGTCCAACTCCCACGATCAATCTGCAACACTTCCTTCAAATTATAAAGTTATATCGAATCTATTATATTTGATATTCATAGAAAATCTAAGTTAGATGTCATTTTCAATTAGCATTAAATACATTAATAGATTTATACTATTTAAATTTTAGCAATAATATGTATTCTTATTTAATTTTAATTATTTATTAATTTTTATATGAAATTACAATTTATAGTGTATAGTAAAGTGATTTTCCAATTCTTTGAATTTGTTTATTTTGTTATCATTTGAATTTTGTTTGTTTTGATAGACCAATCAGATTCATGTTTTTTGATATGGTTGAAGTTTGGCGCGCAATCATATTAATTACCGGTATGGTAAGGAATAATTGTAAATTATTACAATTTATATTCTTATTTATGTAGGAATTCTCGATGCAATGTTTAGAAGAATATCAAGAACTTATTGAACGTGATGCGATTGAAATTTCTTGGTTGTGGAAATATCTACAAATGTTTCTATACTTATTATGCACAATTAGCGGATATACTTGTAGCGTTTTGTTCTACATATTATGGGTATAATTAATAATAATTTTTATTTATTTTCTATAATATTTTAAATTGTAATTCAATTATTTTATTATAAAATATGAAGAAAGAAATTTTCGGAGATAAGTGTCCACTTTGGGCAACATCTGTTTTAATATCAAAAGAGAAATTGGAATTAGATGATATTCGTGATATATGTAAAAATCATTTATTAGATTGGTGGAAATATATTTTTACTGACTATATATATGAAAATACATGTGAAATGTATTTAATAACATGTTTTTCATCTTGTATATTTGGAGTTGTTTGGTTTACTTTATTTCTTATGTGTGGCAAAGGAGGACAAGATATACCAATGCAAGTCAATTTATTTTTCAATTATATACATTATTTATCACTGTAAATACAATAAATATGATAAATACAATTATATTATATACAGTATTAAATACAATTATATTATATACAGATATGAAAGTCCTTGGAGGATTGTATTTCCTGCAATATACTTTAATTTTATATTTGCTATTATATCAATGTATGCACATTATAATTTACAACAAGGATATAAATCATTTAATGATGGTATCATAAATATTTCCTATGAGATATATAATATTTGCAAAGTGCCTATGAATATAAGGTATCAAACTTAAATTGTACTTTAAATTTTAAATTTATATAATTCATCATAAAAGTTTATTTACAGTGACTGTGAAATAATAAAAATATATATGAAAATGCATCATTTTTATACATATGATGTGTGTCATATAATTTCATATCTTCAGGTAATATTTTGTATATAAAATTTTAATTTTTAATATTTTTTTAAAATTTATTTCTATATAATATATATTCTTCTAAGATATTTACAGTCATAATGATGTGTAGTTGGTCAGGTGGATTCATAATATTAATTTTAAGGATGATATTAGTCATTGATTTTAAAATTTTAAAAATTAGAATATATGAAGTAAAGGAAGAATAATATTCAATATATTATTATATAAGAAAATTTTTTATTCTTTGCGTAAATTTTACATACATTATGTAAACTTGTATATAAGAATAAAAATATAAAAAATATTTGTAATTGTTTTCACATGATATAATATTATTTTATTTATAATCAAATATAACTTCAATGTATAAATCAATAAATTTTAACTTTATTTTAAAAAATTCTAAGATATAATCTACATAATATTTGCAATTATTTATATTTTTAAAATCACATTTTCACAATAAAATATTTTTTTATTTTTTTTATTGATTTTTAAAAATAAATCTATTATATAATATTAATTAAAAATTTGCTATTTTAATTTCCTATGAATATTGATTTTATTAATAATCTATAGTCATCTTAAAAATTTAAATCCTTTAATTACTTCTTTGGATTGATACCATTGATAGGATACATGTGTGGTATTAATTCTTGAATTATTTAAAAATTCAATATCTTTGTTTTTAGACTCAATATTAGATTCAGATACTTCATTATAAACTTTTACTATATCTATGCAATTACAATTTAGTTTTTTTTGATCATTATATTGTAATTTAATTATAAAATAGTTTGAAATCTGTATAGGAGGTATATATTGTGGTTTAGGTAAAAAAAAATCTGATATTGTATTATTATCACTTTTTTGTATTAACACAAAAGTATTTGTAGGATTCAATGGTAAAGTCAGTGCATCTTGAAATTCTGAACATTCTAGCATTGATCTGCAATGTTAAAAATATTTCAATAAAAGATAATAGAATATTATGTAAAGATTTTTTCACTAACCTCATTAAATTTAAGAGAGGTTTCCTAGAAGCATGTTTACATTCAAAATGTTCTTGACTATTAAGAATATCAGATGGAAATATAATCCTAACATGTAATTTTGGTGATATTATTGTAGCACCAATAAGTATAGCAATTTCTTTGATTTTGCAGTTTTTGAGATGAAATTGTGAATTTAACTGCTCTGATGTGCTTTTCAGAGTATTTAATAATGTTTTTATAGAAGACAAATTTCTATCAGTTGATTTCATTTGTAATTGAGATAATGAATCATAAGTAAATGGTATTTGTTGTTTTTGATATAAAATATACTTTAGAAGTTCAATTACAAGTTTCACACAATTATTACTTGTTAAAGGTTCATCTAAAGTTACATTAATATTCATTTTAACTTTTGCTTTTTGACACTTTAAATACGTTAAAATTTAACCTAATTGACAGATTCGTATTTTATATATATATTTTTGTAAAAATATATCTTTATGAATTTATGAACACATTATTTATGTGTCAAAATATTTACATAATATAATTAAATATTTATCAACTAATGAAATTAATTATTTACAATTACAAAATATCTAGAATGCATTTATCCTTACTAATGGTGAATGTAGCAACTAAGTGAACGTAGTAATTATATTAAAGCCATATTCATTATTGTCTTTTATTGAAAATTTTGTTAAAAATAGCTTCATTGTTAAAAATTTTATTTATATATTAATTTTTTCATTACATATTATAAAACAAATAAAATTTTATTTTTAGTAATTTATAAAATTTTTTTTATATATTTAATTTACCTATTCGATTTGAACTCTTACTATCTTCAAATCATTCATGTTTGTCTTCATATATTACAAAAATGGCGGAAATAAAGTCACGTCGTGTCGCGCAAACAGAAGATTTATCAAACGTTGAGTTTGAAACTAGTGAAGATGTGGAAGTTATTCCAACATTCGATAATATGGGACTCAGAGATGAGTTATTACGTGGAATTTATGCTTATGGTATTATTAAAATCTTTTTGTTAATTTAACATAACCTTATATTTTACTTTATATTTATTATTTTAGAATATTTAATATTATTTTTTATACTTATAAAATAATATTTTAATTATAGGTTTTGAGAAACCTTCTGCGATTCAACAACGATCTATTAAACCAATCATGAAAGGACGAGATGTAATTGCACAAGCTCAATCTGGTACAGGGAAAACAGCAACATTTTCAATTGCTATATTGCAATCTTTAGATACACAAGTTCGAGAAACACAAGTATTGGTCTTGTCGCCTACAAGAGAATTGGCAACTCAAATACAAAAAGTTATTCTGGCTTTAGGAGATTTTATGAATGTTCAATGTCATGCTTGTATAGGTGGTACAAATCTTGGAGAAGATATTAGAAAATTAGATTATGGACAGCATGTCGTATCAGGCACACCTGGAAGAGTATTTGGTAATTTGAATAAAAAATTTTTTATTAATTTAATTATTTTTTTCAATTTCTCTAAAGATAATAACAACATTATATTCTTTTGATATAAAAATAAAAACATTTTTATTATAAAAAAGAATATTATAACACAAGGATTATAGATTTGTTATTTTAATTTTTAATTTTTTAATGATTTTTAGATATGATAAAAAGAAGAGTTCTTAGAACAAGAGCTATAAAAATGTTAGTTCTTGATGAATCTGATGAAATGTTAAATAAAGGTTTCAAAGAACAAATTTATGATGTATATAGATATTTGCCACCCGCAACACAAGTTGTATTGGTATCTGCAACATTACCACATGAAATTCTTGAAATGACAAGTAAATTTATGACAGATCCGATTCGTATTCTTGTAAAACGGTAAGCTCAAATTATTTAAAATTAAAAAAAATTATTTGTTTTATTAAAATTATAAAAATAATTCATTATTATTAGTGATGAATTGACATTAGAAGGAATAAAACAATTTTTTGTGGCTGTTGAAAGAGAAGAATGGAAATTTGATACATTATGTGACTTATACGATACATTGACAATAACACAGGCAGTAATTTTCTGTAATACTAAACGTAAAGTGGATTGGCTGACAGAAAAAATGAGAGAAGCTAATTTCACAGTTTGTTCTATGCATGGTGATATGCCTCAGAAAGAAAGAGATAACATAATGAAAGAATTTCGATCTGGACAAAGGTATTGTTATAGTTATAATATTTAAATATTATGTGTATGTATATATATATATATATATATATATATATATATATATAATAAACATTGTAAATAAAATTTATAATATAATATTTATATTATTATATTATTTTCTAGTCGTGTTTTAATTACGACTGATGTGTGGGCAAGAGGAATAGATGTTCAACAAGTATCTCTTGTGATCAATTATGATTTACCTAATAATCGTGAATTATATATTCATAGAATAGGACGATCAGGACGTTTTGGAAGAAAAGGCGTTTCCATTAATTTTGTAAAAACTGATGATATAAGAATTCTTCGAGATATTGAACAATATTATTCAACACAAATTGATGAAATGCCTATGAATGTAGCAGACTTAATATAATGTTAAACTTTAAATTTTTATTAAATAAGAATTATTATGCAAAAAACGAAATTATTTTTATTTAGATATTCTGAAAATTACATTTTTGAAGTGTTTTTTTTGATTGAAAACAGTTATTAAAATAGCAGTATTTTTTTGAGAATACAAGACTCTTTATAAAATAATATCCCATTTCTGTTATATATAAAATGTAACATTCAAAATAATAAAAATTAACTAATTTTATAAAACATAATAAACTTCTAACACAAATATAAAATTACTTTATGTCTTTATTATAATAGATAATAAAATATATTAAAAAGATAGAGGATATACAAGATTTAGTTTTATTTTTTAGTTTATTTATATTTTTTTATTATTTATTTATTAATATTCATAAACGTTATTTGTATTGAGATATATAGTTTTTTTTTTGAGAAACGAAAATAATCAATAATCCGCTTCTTAGTTTAGATGGCAGCAGAGCAGTATTTTGGTTGAGTATATTTAAGGATTAATTAAAACTTGCTATATAATTTTATTTATTGTGATTAAGAAAAAATTACTCAATATTAATTTTATTCAATATTATTTTTTAACTTAGTAAATTCATTTTGTTTTATTAGCAATTTATGTTTTATAACTTATTTAATAATTATTATTTAATAATCTTTTGAAGATATGATAATAATAAATATTGAAGAATGTGCTTAATATTAATATCTATAAAAATAAAAATATGAATAAAAATATATATTTCACATATAATTAGACAAAAATTTAAAAGTATGGAAACTCAAGAAGATTGTACAATTAGAAGGGGACAATCTATTCGACGTTATCAAAATGATTTCAAATCTGATGCACGTACTTCAACTTGTAAGTAATAACATTTTTATATAAACATTCAATTGTTAACAATATTTTTTTTATGATTTTTTATTTAGCAATGATAATAAATCAATCACAATACATAAATATTGGAAGATCTATTGTAAGAATAGCTATATATTTAACAACTGGAATTTTTTTAACAATGGATATTGAATCTAATTCTACTGCACATCAAATCCTTACAATGATACAGTCAGAAGGAGAGTTAGGATTAACAAGAATCCCTTCATTCACTGGTCAAACAGTTTTTGCCTTATGGCTTTGTTCTTCAAGATTAGAGGTTCAATTACGTCCGAATCACAAACCTATAGAATTGGCTGCAAAATGGAATCGTTTAGTAAAAAAATATAGTTCTCAAAGAGAAGAAACAGATGAAGAACCTTTGCTATGTCTTAGACGAAATGTGTTTCTTTCTCGATCAGATGAGGAGCAAATAAAAGAAATTAAAGTATTAGAATTATTATATGCAGAAGCCAGAAATAATGTATTGCAAGGTAATAAATTATTTACTTATTTCATTATTCTATATAATATTTATTTGTATTTTAGGACGTTATCCATGCGAAGGACAGGCACGATATGCAAGTTTGGGAGCTTTGCAAGCACGTATTGAACTGGGTCCATATAATCCTCAAAATCATACATTAGCATTTTTTAGAAGATATCGTGGTCGATTCTTGCCTCATCATTATACATCTCCTAGTCTCTTATTAGGATTAGGTGTTGGTTTAGGCCTAGTTGGTGGAAAAGGAGCACCTGAAGCTCGCTTACTTGAACAATACAAACGAATACCTAATCACACAGGAACTAATACGAATTCGAGGAAACTAATTAGAAAATACTTAGAGTTTTGCTGGAATTTACCATGTTATGGTGCGGCTTTTTTTCAAGGACAAATTGAACGTCCTGTAAGAAGTCTTGCATCTTGGATTACAAATCGTGATATGTATATACTCATTGCTATTAATTCATCAGGAGTATATATCGTAGACGATATTCAATGTGTAAGAAATAAAAATATTATATATAGTAATTATCATTCACATAATATATTACAAATAACTTTTTTATAGAGTTTATTATTGGGTCTAAGATATTCAGAGTTAAGTTGGGAAATGGCGAAACCTTCAGATGAAAATAATTCGGATTGTCTACCATGTTTATTTCTACAGTTTCCTGTGCGAGAAAATGGAACACAAGTTTATAAAATTCTACAAGTATTCTCAAGACAAGTATGACTTATTCCTAGAAAAATTAACTTTAATAATTTAAATTACTAAAATTTATTTTATTATAAGGCAATAATGATGGATATATTAATTTCTGGCTTTGCTGAAGAACATCGTCGTCATAGAAGTAATAATGATATTACGAATAGTGATCGTTTAACAGACCATATGATTGGTTCTAATACTGGAAGTTTTACTAATAAACTTAGTAAATTTACATTAGCCACTTTTGATGATGAAGGTAAATAACATACAAAAATTTCTTAAAAATTTAAGATTTTTACAATATAAAATTATTTTAGGTCGATGTATTGGACAAATGGGTTCTTGGTCCTTTCAATAAAATAAATTGTTTATACTATATATCTGTTTTTTTTCAAAAATACATTAAACTTTCTTTAATTATCGCAAGATGTGGATTTTGTTGTAAATTATTTATCAACATTTTGTATTTTATAGGAACCAAATCTCTATGACGATTTAATCTGTTTTCTAAAGTTTGTAAATAAAAACTTATTTCATTTATTTTTTCTAATATTTTTTCTTCTTCTTCGCGAGTTAAATCTTCTTCCTGTAGAAAGATATTTTTATCTTATATTTTACATATATCAAATAAATATATGACAAAAAATAAAATTTTACCTGTAATATCAATGCTTGCGTTTTCACCAATTCCTGTGAATATTTCTCAAATTCATGTAAGATTTTATTCGCCCTACGTATAAATAATTGTTTGTAATCACGAATACATGCATATTGTATTAAGTATGCCTCAGCTTCTGATAGCTCCGATGGATTTCCTAAACGAGCTAAATATGGCTTCAAATAATTTATTTCTTCCGTGATATCTTTTATACTTTGTTTCTTCTGCATTTATAATATATACGTTTAATTAATTAATTAAAAAAAAATTATATTATTATTGTTTTATACTACCAATGCTTCTAATACAGATTCCGATTCCCTAAGTTTATCATATATAGATATCAACAGTTTTGGCGTCAAATATTCACTTTTTCTTATCTCGAGAAAAGAAAACATTTCTTTTTCTGCCGCTCTAACTTGAGATATAGATATATCCTCCTCCTTTAATTGTGTGTCTAGTTCGTATAATAAATCTAAAGCCTTATCAGGTTCATTTAGAGGCTACAAATAAGATAATAAAATTATCTTTTAATAAATTTTTTGATATTGATAAATACTCACATTATATCCATGTGTCATTGCTGGACTAAGATCCAATCGTTCTCCTCTTTCTGCTAATGGTGGTTTTATATATGTTCGCAAAGCTCTAGTAAAATTGCCTGGATAATAATGATAAGTAAGATGTATTTCGTTATCATCAATAGCAAATTCACGGATTGCTATATTTTTACATGCTTTTATTCGTTCATCTCTATTAAATTTTTCGACAATCTTCTGCAAATTTATTTAGATATTTTAAACTAATTATTTTCATGTGAAAAATTATTTATAATATTTTAAAAATTATAGACAAAGTATTTATTAAGATTTTTATTAAATTTTTATTAAATTTTATTAAATCATATGAAATAAAATATCAATAAAGTAAAAATATCAATTATAAAAAAAATGTCATTTAATTAAATATTTTATTCTTTATAAGTAATTAAAAATTATTCATTTTAATACAAATGATATAAAAATACATTTTATATCTACATTATATTTTATCTATTTAAAAATTTTATAAAATTCTATCTTACCGAAATGTGTCGATAATGAATATCTTGAGTTTCACCTTTTTTGTCTTGTAAAAATTCTACATGCCTGTTCTCAAGTTGATCGAAACTCTGGTTATAATATTATATTTCATTTTTAATAATTTATATTTTAATTATTCATTCACAAGTTATCGCTTACCGATAATATAGAAAATCATCACGATCGACAAAGTGTTGCGTTAAATAAGTTGGATGCATTTCGAATTTAGATAATCCATCGAAACGAGCAACGTAATAAAAATCTAAAATTCGCTCACTATCTACATTGACATTATTGAATAAAAAATATCGATGTTCTGTAAATTTTATTTTATTAATGAAAAATTAATTAAATATATTACATTATTTAAGTATTTCGCACATTATTAATTAAATATAATATGGAAAATTATATTCATAAATTATACACCTTTACACTGGTCAACTCGACCTCTTGTATAATAATCTATGACGGTACCGTCAATCATATTTCTTCGTGATTCTATGAGATTATCAGATCTATTTCTATAATTTTCATATATATCGATAGGATTCATGTCATTATCGTATGTAGTAATTCTTTGTATCAATCCATCTGTTTGAATATATGGTGCGTAAAATTCAACTTTTGTTTTTTTATACAATACTATTTTCATACCGTTTGGGAATCGTTTCTCAAATTCTAAAAGATAAAATAAAAATGTATTCAAGAAATATAAACGAAACATAACAAAATATATTTAAGAATTAAACTTATATTTTATAATTGAAAATTTTTTATACCTTCTTCGCTAATATTTATTTGATTAACGTATGATAATGGCATATCCAAATGTTTTTCTTGACGCATAGCAGATTCTTCATCAATCTCTCCTGTATGTGTTGTCCATGGTTCTCCGGGAAGCAAATGTTCCCACAATTCTACTTTCATTAAATCCCATTCTATGTTTACGCACGATTGTACAGATACCTGCATATTTACCCAATAATTTTGATCATTCCATATACTTTCTACACCGAGATATAATTGAGCTGTATCGTCATCTGTAACTTCGTAAGATATACCAGTGGTAGGCTCAATAAATAATGGACAAGGAATTTCTTGATCCCTCAATCCACCTAATTCTGGTAATATCGCTACCCAAGCATGTATTCTATGTCCCCAATATTTATCTATTGGAAGTTGCTCTAATTCCTAAATTCAAACATAATTTTCTTTTTTAAAGTAAAATTATGAAAAACATTTAGTAGAATTTAAAAAAAAGTTACCTCAATTAAATTTTGTTGCTCCTTTTCAGCTAACAATAATTTTTCTTGTAATTTCCTCGCTTTTTCTTCTTCCGATTCTGATAAAAATTGATTTTTATATTCTACATTGAGATTAAGTTTGTATTTAGTAATCTCGGGACGTATCGTATCTTCTTGAAATTTCTTTTCCGGTTGTGGTATATAGGGGCATGATCGTCTTGTCAAATCACAGAGTGTTTGTTCTCTAGATGCATAACCACTTACTACAAATGCATTATATCCTTGACCTAGTAACAAGCTAGTAAGAAATGTTGCACATTCAAAACAATTGCCTTTTCGAAACTTCTGTACCCATGTAGGTGAACGCACTTGTTTTGGCTGTAAATAGAAATAAGTATCATAAATGTGATATTATAAGTAAGTAAAAATTTATAATTTTACGTATAAGCAAGATGAGATATAGATTGACATTTATAAATTTAATATTTGTAAAAAATTATATACATATAATGTATATAATATATTTGTAATAATTTATATACATATAATGTATATAATAGAATCGCTTGTAAATTCAATATCTACAGTTTCACTTATTCTTAAAAATTTACATTCAAATACATAATTTAATTTTGTTTTATTTTGTTTATTTATTGTTGATTTTAATTACAACGCTATAATCATTTTTTATACTGAACTGATAATGTCGCGTCTAAAATGAAAATATAAGAAATTTTTAAAACATAAAAAAGCATTGTTACATTTATCTTGTTTGTATCTTATGTTTTAATAAAATGTTAAATGTTTTGAGAAAAGTGAATAGAAAGAAATTTTAAAACATTTTATTTAAAAAACGATGTTATTTATTGAAGCGCTATTTTTTTTTTTTCGTTTGTCTAATATTGGTAATTGAAACTATCATTCCATTTATTTATTTTACATAATAATTTAAATAAATATAATCATGTAAAAAATATAGTTCTTCATATAGGATATCAAATATAATATAAAATATAATAAAATAAAATATAATATAATATAATATAAAATATATAATATAAAATATTTGATAATAAAACATTTATTCTTATTTGTAATTTTACATTGAAATTTAATTTTATTTTCAATCATTATTAATGTTATGATCTTATTCTAAATCGAATCGATAATGTTGAGAATGACACTAAAATGATAAAAAGAATCTTATTGATGGCATGAGATAAAAAATATTAAATTTTAAATATATTCCGTATTTCGTTTGTAATATAAAAACACTTGTTGCTTTAAATCGATTTTCTCATTATATAAGATGATTTAATAAATTGTAAATAAATTGTAAATGATCGATAAAATAATTTATCAAACAAAATCTGCCATACCGACTGTCAATAATATAAACACATTTACCATTGGTTTCATGTGAAAACACAAAAGTAATAATAATAATACTAAAGAGTAAATATGTATATCCCACACATAGCTACTAATCGTCCAAGAAGAGTATTCATTCAAATGCGCTGCTGAGCACGTGGCAACTCGTGCGTATTCTCGGTCCCTGACCTACAGAACTATATTATGATCTACGCGTAGAATTACAACAGAAGTAACCATATGTTATAAAAAGATAAACAATTAGTAAAACACGAAAATTTTTCGCAAAATGCAAAATAAAAAAAATTATAATTTTTATTTATTTCATAATAATAATTCTTAAGATATTACGATTTCTGAAAATCTTATTTTTATTAAATTTATAAGAAAGATTAAATTATACTGAAACTTAAATCGAAATGATTCTCATCCTTTCGTATCTTGAAAAGAAAGAAAAAGCAATCTTTTTTGCAAGAGCGCTTAGAGTCTAGGTAAGATAGAGATGGTCAGTGGGTGGTACTACTATCCCTCGATCCCTTCACCCACTTCCGCCCCTTCTGTCCACCTAACCTAACTTTACCATATTCACCTTGCCCCTCCGACCATCCCTCGAACGTTCTCGGTCTTGCTTTCTCGCCCATTGGCGTTGTTCACCCCTCCGTTCCTCGCTTGCCCCCGCGCGTCACCAGTTCCGCGCGACCCCTTCGACCGGCACCCACGTGGGACGCAAGACGAGGGTGTGAGGTAGCAGACAACGCGGAGATACCGCCGCCGTGGCAGCTGCGCTCAGTGTTTCTCAACCATGAATTTACATCAGTCACGATGTAATTTACAGTTTAAATGAAAATTTAATTAAATTATAATAGAAATTAAATATTTATAGATATGCGTCACAAATAATAAAAAAAAGAAAAAAAAGATATATAAATACTTAATAAAATTTAAAATGACAATTTATAAATATATATATATATATATATTTTTTTTTGTTCATATATATATATATATAAATATATAGATAAAAATCTATATACAATACTGATCTTCAAAAACTTAACATATAACATACTTTTTTAAGAATAAACTAAATTTGTTATAAAAAAAGATCGAATATTTTTGTAAGCTATGGAATAATAATTTAAAACAGATTTGTAAAATAAATATATTGATTAAATTTTGTATTTTTTATTATTTTAATTAACTTTTAATTAATCAAAATTTAGAAATAGAGAACATCCGTATAATTATCACGTAATTAATGATCAAATAAAAAAAGAACTATGTTTATTCTGAATGGAAGAAAAGTACGTTCAGTGATTGTGACAATTTAAAAGGACAAAAATCCTTTAATTCCACGACGCGTACGCTATCGATAATTCCCCTTCTGATCTACGTTCGCGGAAGTGGACGAGAGAGAACGTGATTTACGCCGAGACGATGCTCGTGGGTATCAGTCGTAGGGTACATGATCAAAGCGCGACGGTCGAAAGCGTGGATCGAAGCGGTGATTGGTCGGCTTCGAGCGGGGTGCCGCGAGATAGCGCTTTTCGGGACGCCTCGATGTCGTGCTCGGCACTGGTCGCCGTATCGAGGACGTTATCCGTGGACGCGACCAGAGTGCTGTGTAGCCATATACGTATACGGATCACTACATACATGAGCCACGAATGTGTTGGCGCGCGTTGGGAGATGGAACGACCGAGGGCGAAGAAAAGGAGGGATGAAGAGCGACAGAGAGAGAGAGAGAGAGAGAGAGAGAGAGAAAGCTACAGAGTTACAGAAGTGGAATAGAGAGAGATGGTAGAGAAAGAGAGAGATACGAGGAACGAGGCCTAAATCAGGGGCGATCGCACCGAGCGACGTCGCTATCTCTCTGAATATGCGAACCACTATTTGGCGTCCGCGGCGCGTACGTACCTAGTACCCGGTATTACTAGATACTAGATAGTACCTAGTCCCTGCCTACCTATATACCTTAGCTAGATGTTCCATTCGCTCTATGTGTACGCGCATCTCTATACGCCGAGGCGGAGAGCGCCCTACACGACACACAATCTCTGGGTTTACACCTACATATCCTGCAAACTGTGCCGCGATATATATCGAACAAATCGCGAAGCTTGGACCTGTAGGATGCGACTGTTGGAAAAACTATGAAATGAACACGTAGTCGTATCATTTAGTATCGATGTTTTATGCGAATGACTATCAAATAATGAGTGTAGTTAAATCGATAATATATATATAAAAAGTATGATGATTAAAGCGCATTTTTATTTATTTGTTAATACTATTTTATAATCTATTGTATATAATCTATTCTTTCTATCATAGTGCGTCTATTCAACGACGTTAAGCAATTAATCGAGAGAAATGAGGAAGAAAATAAAGAAGTACTTTAACAACGAAAATATTAATTTGTATTGGTAAAATTCTGATTTTTGTGTTAATCGTAACCATTTTGCAACAGTTGTTCCTAATATTTTCCACTTGTTTCCAAAACACGGAAGAGTAAGTTCGTAACTTTCTAAGTTCAGCCTGAACGGATTATATCGTTGATTGTAGTACCGGAAATGGAAATAAATATCACGACAAAAACCTAATTTGAAATTTCATTTATTCGTTTTCGTAACGATAAATGAACTCAACTTCGTATATCTTATTCATTGTGTAATAAATCTGATCATCCAACTGAAAACTAATAATTTAAACGATCACAACAAAAAAAAAGATTTCTCGTCTCAAATCCATCCAAATTTAATCTAATCGGTGATTAACGATCGATTATCGAAAACGGCGTTTGTTCGAAACGCTATCAGGTAAAATATAAGCGTCGTATTATCGAAAGAAAAAAACGGCGGAATATTTACGTTACGAGTTTAAATGTACGTTTGAAAAAAAAGAACGTCGTTCGAAGAAAGTCGAGCTATCTCTATTGACGGCCAATCGTTACAAATACCTGTGATACATAAGTGGGTGGCAAACGGAGCCTCACCGTGCTCTAACGAGCCGTACACGTGTTTCTGACATCGGCACTATAAAGTAAGTACGTATACGGACACGCGTGTCTCCGTCCAATGTATGTGTATGGGATGTGTATTAACACGCGCGTTTGCCAAAGAGAGAGGAGGCATCCATATACGTGCAAACTCGGCACACCGTAAGCCCTAGAGCCGGTTTTCAATGAGCGAGTGGCAGGAAGAAGAGGGAGAAACGGCAACAGCCAGAGCCGGCGTAATGCAGGAGGAGGAGGAGGAGAGGTATGGTGAAAAGTGACGACGGAGAAACAAACGAGTGAAGAGAGGAGAAAGAGGAAGAGCAAGTGGCAGGAAGAGGGAGGAGGAGGAGGAGGAGGAGGATGAAGGAGAGGAAGGGAGGCAAGAATGGACGAGAGCGGGAGGAATATAAACCCTTATCGAAATCGTGATTCACCCCACATTCTCTGGAAACCCCCTAACCTATTAACATCCATATCGCAATAACAGATACACGTGTATAACCGTGTTTCCACATAGCCATTCGTCCTTGCACACCTTCGTAATTACTTAGCGATTACTCGGCCACGAGAAATGCGCCACGCTAAATTTCTTTATCAGTTAACGATATTTATCTATTTTCGGACACGCAACAATAGGTAAAATTATGTAAATTCTTTCGAAATATAAAAAAAATGGGGAAGAGTTTAAATGAATCAATTGGAATTTCTATTTTCTTTTTTTATTCGATTATTTTTTTTTTTTTTTTTATTCGTCTTTGTAAACGAACTAGTGGCAATTAATTAAGACGTTAAATTTCCAATTCAATCGTAAGGAGGATGGTTCAATGAATGGCGAGCATTATTGTTTCACGATATCCTTTTCATCGGCGCGATAACATTATTTCGAGATTCTTTCTTCTCTTAATCTAATGCACAGCCGACTCGATAGTTACTTTGGTTTTTCGCTGTTCGTTTATGGACCAAGTTTCTCCGTTAAAACTTTAAGCACTTTTCAGAGACTGACGTTAAA